TTTTTCAAACATATGTAATTTTTTCCCTTCAATAAAATGAGCAATTTTTTTTAGCAAAAATTATTCTTTGTAAAAGTTAGCTTTAGGGACTAAATTTATTGCAAGTTAGCTGGAAAAACTAACTCAGAGGTTGGCTGGATTAAACCAACATCCTTCCTAAACCCAGGATAAGGATCCAGGCAGCAGGACATTTGGTCGGAATAACCAAATACTATAAGTTAGCTGGAAAAACTAACTTCAATTGTTGGCTGGAATAAACCAACTCTTGTTACTCTTCGGCCGAAGTAAGTGTATGGCTGAAGAGTGGTTGGCTGGAATAAACCAACTCTTGTTACTCTTCAGCCGAAGTAAGTGTATGGCTGAAGAGTGGTTGGCTGGAATAAACCAACTCTCGTTACTCTTCAGCCGAAGTAAGTGTATGGCTGAAGAGGGGTTGGCTGGAATAAACCAACTCTCGTTACTCTTCAGCCGAAGTAAGTGTATGGCTGAAGAGGGGTTGGCTGGAATAAACCAACTCTCGTTACTCTTCAGCCGAAGTAAGTGTATGGCTGAAGAGTAGTTGGCTGGATTCGGAAAGAAGAAGAAACATAGGGTTGAAGAGTGGTTGGCTGGAATAAACTAACTCTTGTTACTCTTCAGCCGAAGTAAGTGTATGGTTGAAGAGTGGTTGGCTGGAATAAGCCAACTCATGTTACTCTTCAGCCGAAGTAAGTGTATGGCTGAAGAGTGGTTGGCTGGAATAAGCCAACTCTTGTTACTCTTCAGCTGAAGTAAGTGTACGCCTGAAGAGTGGTTGGCTGGAATAAGCCAACTCTTGTTACTCTTCAGCCGAAGTAAGTGTACGGCTGAAGAGTGGTTGGCTGGAATAAACCAACTCTTGTTACTCTTCAGCCGAAGTAAGTGTAGGGCTGAAGAGTGGTTGGCTGGAATAAGTCAACTCATGTTACTCTTCAGCCGAAGTAAGTGTACGGCTGAAGAGTGGTTGGCTGGAATAAGCCAACTCTTGTTACTCTTCAGCCGAAGTAAGTGTATGGCTGAAGAGTGGTTGGCTGGAATAAGCCAACTCTTGTTACTCTTCAGCCGAAGTGTACGGCTGAAGAGTGGTTGGCTGGAATAAGCCAACTCTTGTTACTCTTCATCCGAAGTAAGTGTACGGCTGAAGAGTGGTTGGTTGGAATAAACCAACTCTTGTTACTCTTCAGCCAAAGTAAGTGTATGGCTGAAGAGTGGTTGGCTGGAATAAACCAACTCTTGTTACTCCTCGGCCGAAGTAACCAAACACTGTATACTCCTCAGCCGAAGTAAGTATATAGGCTAAGGAGTGGTTGGCTGGCAAGCATATTTTAGAAAGCCAAAATCGAAATAACAGTTGGAGTAATAGAAGACGTTACAAAACACAGGCATACATACCACAACCGGAATAAAAGTTGGCGTAAAATTTTCATTCAAAGAAAAAGTCATTACAAACGAGTGTAGTTCGGTTACAAAGAAAAAGAATACAAAGTCAAGCGAAAAGATCTTCAATCTCGGCATCAAAGGCAGCATCGGTGTCAGCTGGAAGACCGGTCTCTGGCGGCAGGACTCCTTCAGTCACAATAGTGGTATCGACCGGAGCCACAGTTTCATTTGGCTGTTCAATAGTCAGATCTTCAACTCTAGACTCCGGCCGATCTATCTGATCCACGTTTTCAACCGGAGTATCCTCAGAAGCAGAATCTTCGTCAGTATCTGAACCCTCAAGGAATTGCTGCTGCAGGGCATCCGCAAACCCCGCAAGGGACTTCGGTATAAAGTACTCTGGAGGGTTGAAGACCTCGGTCTGTTGATCATAACCGAGCTTCTCCACAGCCGCCCTCCAGCCGCACTTGAAGAAAAGCTCCTTGGCGGCATCGCATTGCTTGACGTAGGCCACTTCTGCCTCCTTGAAACCTCGCTTGTACCCCCCCTTGTCGACCGCCTCCATATTCTTTTTCAGTTCGCTCATTTCGGCGTCCTTTCTCTTCTCTAGCTTCAACAACTCCCGCAAATACTTGTCCTTCATAACAATGGCAGCTTTCTGCTTCTCCGCTTCCGCCGAATTAACTAGATCGGCAAGACGGCCGTTCTCCGCTTCCAGCTCTTCGGCCGAACTAACCATTCCGGTCAGTCGGCCGACCTCACCTCGGAGTTCGGCCAGTTCCTTTCTGGCTTCTTCTAGTTCGGCCGATTTAGCCTCTGCCTCGGCCGCTGCTTGCCTAGTCACTTTCCTCAGCTCCAGTACTTTCCTGTGGGTGATTTGGTTTTTCTGAATAGCCTGACAAAGCAAACAACTTCCCTTTAACCGAAGAAAGAGTTAAAAAGAAAAAGAAACATAAACAGAAAAGCAACTGAAGTCACTAACCAGAATCATGGATTTAGTAGCAGACCGGATGGACTTCAGCTCGGTGGTTAACTGTTTTTGGTGATGTTCCATGTCTTTGGGCAGACACACGCTCCTGGCCAGGTTAATGGCCAACAGGTGGTCTTTCTCAGCAACGACCGAGTCTGTGTCTAGAATGTCTCGGTCGTTGAAGGTTAGTTTCGGTGCCCAGCAGCCGATGGTTCGGTCGGAAGACTCCGGTTGGGGGCTCGGTGGAAAGCTCGGCTGAATAGGAGGTTCTTCATCAATCAAAACTCGTTCGGGTTCGGCAGTTCGGGCACGTTTGGTTCGGCGGGAAGAGGATGGCTGTTGGGAAGGAAGGGCGACAACAGCAGGCTGCGATTGGCTGGGAGGCGCCACTTCGGGCCTAGTTGTTTCGGTGAGAAGGGCCCTGACTCTACTCCTTTTCGCCATCTCTTCTTCTGCGGGTCTGGCGGTTAGAGGGACCAAGTCTTATCTCGGGCAAAGTTGGGTCCGGCTCCGGTGCTTCTTCAAGAAGGAAGTCAGTCCCCTTGCTTTTCGGCGACCACATGTAGGCGATAGGTCGGCTCGAAATTTAGAAGCTTGGCCCAACCTCTTTTTCTTTAATCCGGAATGCGGCTCGCGCAAAACTCCGAGGTTGGGATAGCTATACAAAGAATGGAGATGGGCGAAATCTGCAAAAAAGAGAAGTGTTAGTTCGGTTTAATAGACTAAACAACCGAGATAACAACACAAAGCAGAAGACCGAAGTAAAATTACCAGGCTCTTCCCATTTTCCAATTTATAGGTCGGCCAGGAATTTGAGCTTGAAAATCCTCAAAATTCCCAGAGACCCAGAAGAAGTCATCATCATTAAGGTCTTTGTCCGGTGTGTGCTTAATTATCTTTCTCTCGGCGGCGGCGAATCCTAAGGGTAAATAGACCCACCCCAGCATTCTTCGAGCCGATGGAATACTGATGGAATATTTCGGCTAGGCCAAGATTTAGTCCGGTTTGGGGTTTAATGCGGCTATTCCCATTATAATACGGTATGTGTTGGTGGACAGTTGGGTGGGGCATAAACCTAGTTCGTCTAAGAAATTCGCAGATTAGCGGTTGGACAGGAAACCGTAGTCCGGTTTCTATATGGATTGAAGGGTAAAAGGGACGGAGCCTTCATTGTCCCAGGGAGTAGCATCTTTCTTGGCCAACACCAAGTTTGGACATCATCAGGAATCTGGTAGTCTTGCCTAAATTCGGCCATGCCCACCAGGGGTTCGACTTAAATATCTATACTTACCCATTTGTTGTATAAATTACGAATAAATTATTTCGGTACAAAAAATTTGGGCTCAGTAGCTCGGTTGAGCACACGCAGGAGTGCCTGGGCAACCTAAGTCTGCAAGGTAGAAAACAAAGGGGTTAAGCACAGATCGATTGGACCGCGCTACAAATTATAAGCAAGATATAAATCCTACTTCGCTTAGTGGGCTGGTTCTACCTCGGCTCATCAGAAGGTTTGTTAGCTCGGTTTTGAGCACTTTAAGACCGTTTAACGTCTAGGGGCAGCTTTCTGAGTTCCGGTCTAAAAAACTAAGAAAGTTGGTTTAGTCCCAAGGCATAAATCGGTCTTACAGTATGAGAGAAGTTACTTCGGTTGAGCCCTTAGGGCGGCTTTCTGAGTTCGGTTTTAAGAACTAAGAAAGCCGGATTGGCCCCAAAATCTTAGCTCGGTTATAGACCGAAGTACCTAGTTCAGTAAGTGCAAGCTTGATTGGATCCTATCTTGGCTAGAGTGGGTCAGAAGAAGCTACTGACATTCCTACAAGTTCCTAGTCCGGTTATTTCCTAAATCTATATACATAACACAAACAGTATCCTAGTTCGGTTGCTATGTGATTTTGGATCCAAGATTGGTTTTCTACGCAATGGTTCATAAAACGCATGGAGTTCTACGGGTTTCTTCATAAAAAGTACAAAAGCAAGCAGACAAATAAAGAAAAACGTTTGCAGAAAGCTACAAAACAAAAACAGAATAGAAAAAGCGAGAAGGGTAGGTTTTACTTACCAGTTGGGAAAGAAGAAAAGCTGAGATGGAGCAGTAGCAGCAATGGAGGCACGAACACAGTAAGCTCAAAATCAAGAACTCAGGAAACAGAGGAGAAAAAGAAATGAAGAGTGGAAGGTAAGTAATTTGAGAAAGAGTAAAAAGGTTGTTTTGAAAGAAGGGAGAGAAAAAAGGCGGCAAAAAGAAGCGGGAACAGTACAAAAATTCTGAAGGACGGCGTGACAGTGGGCCACAGCTTATCAGAGTTTGCCACGTGTCACTGGAATGGGAAGCGTTACAGTCGCTGTGATTGAAGAGACGTTTTGACCGGACATAGTGATACCCGAGTAAAATTAAGCTCGGCTGGAGAGGCTAAAGGGTTTTTAGCTCGGCTGAAAAAGCTTAAATAAACTCTAGCTCGGCAGTAGACTGGTAATCCCAATCATGTTATACAGATGGAATTAAGGGGCAATTGAGAGGGTAATTTTTGGGAAAAATGGGGCCGAGCTTTCGAGTTGGGCTTTAAGGCCTAAAACACAAAGGACTAAATAAAAAGGCCGTAATGGATACTTCGGCCTAGGGGCAAGTTACTCCGGCGCTTAAGGGAGACAAAGTTACTTCGGCCCAAGGAGGTGAGAATTACTCCGGTCCAAGGAAGAGTAAAATACTCTGGTCCGGAGGCAACTCAGAGTTAGTCCCGGCCGCAGTGTGTTCTGGGAAGGGACGGTTTCAGAATTAGTCCGGTTGTGACATGCAAAGGTTAGGGTCGGTTAGAACTTGTTACTTGGAAGTTTTGATATTAAGCACACCAATGTTGAACAGAGGCAGCCGAAGTAAGGAGTCAGAGGAGAAGACGAGCTAAGGATAGTTCGGCCCTCTGTGGCTCGGTATAGCCAATCTTACTCGGTCAAGTGGAAGTTCGGCTGTGGAGGAAAACCATCCCACTTGGTTTAAGCAGTGGGGGAGGGTGTAAAAGGATAAGCATTATCCTTAGGAGAATGAATCCTAGAAGGACTCTGCATGGAGAAATACAAGTCCTACTAGGATTGTGCCATATGAAATTTATAAAAGCTCACAAGCATCACCTTGGAGGAGGTAATTGAACACATTCTTTCTGAGAACTTAGAGCTTTGTCTATTTGTCAAGTTTTCTGACTTAGGCATCGGAGAGGTTTCCGGCACACACCCCGCCGGCTAGCTCACGTTTTGTGTTTTCAGGTGATAAAGCGACGTCGTACGGAGAAGCGTGGACTTGGTCAACAGGATTATACGAGGAGAATTATTTCCTCCCCGTACAATTGGCGCCGTCTGTGGGAACAACAGACAAGAACAAAAACCTCTTGACTAAGCTTCTCCTTTTCTCATCAATGGCAACACATTGAAAAACCACCAGTCCGCCGTCGACGAGCTAACTCCAGACGGGGGCGCAAGGCGAGAAAGAATTACCCTCTGTCCCTCCTATGGCAGATCTGGAGTCCCAAACAACATAACTCAGAGGAGTGGCAGGGGAAGACGGATTAACAGCCCTCGTCACTCTCCAAAGTCCTGACAGGCAAAGGAGGAGGATTGAATCCTCAAGCCTGGAAGATCGCGTGAAGGAACAAGATGAACTAATTCGAAAGATGGCGGCGGACATGGATGCTTTGAAACGCCAGATGAAGACTAAGGATGTGGCGACAGGAGAGGGGCGCAAGCAACAAGACGCCCCCTCGCCCTACTCTCATCAGAGAATCGTAGTAGGAATACTACACCTTCCCAAGGAGAGAGCAGAAGCCTCAGGACAGGCGACACTCACTCCTTATCCCAAGGAACTCGTCACTCCAGGTCTGAGAGGACGAGATCCGAAAGATCGTACACTGAAGGAAGCACGTATTGGCCCTTCACATTCACACCAAACCAGATCTAGACAAACAGAGCTGCCCAGGTCATCCGACTACGAACCGTGCTAGAAGAAAAAGCACGATGCAAGGAGGATGCCAGGGGCGAGAGATCCACACCGAGTTTTCGGCCTTACAACGGTTGGCTCCTCGGACGCATGGAAGCGTCGAGGTTGGAATGCCAATACGCGCGATCGGCCTACGAACCAGCGGACAAGGCATTGGCAAGACTACAGACTTCGCCGTTTGTCCCAGCAATCGAAAAACGCACCCCTACCATCAGGCTTCCTTCAGCCGAAATTCAATACATATGAAGGGAAGACGACCCGTATTCACACCTGAGCCACTTTCGCCAAGTCATGGCTGTGTACAGGCGAAACGAGGCCTTAATGTGCATACTCTTCCCAATCAAGTCTTGGCGACCTAGGCTTGACTTGGTTCGAAAAGCTTCCCAGAGGGCAGCATAGCTCCTGGGCCCAACTGGCAGAAGCGTTCGTAACGAGGTTTCGGACAAACACTAAAACACCGGTGGAGATAGACCAGTTACTCTCCATCGACATGGGAGAAAAAGAGACCCTCAGATCTTACAACAGTCGCTACTGGGAAACATTCAACCGATTGGAGATTGCCCCACCAATCTGGCCATTGCGCAGTATAAAAGAGGCTACCAGTAGGGAATCGACTAAGGGATTCGATTACAATGACGCCACCTCACCATGGAGGCCCTGATGGAGAGAGTGCATCAGCACATCAGGGTAGAGAAGATGGCGCACGTTCAAGGCAAAATCAAGTGCGACGCGGTACCAGAAAAGAAAACCTCAGCAAAGGTTAATACGGTGGCCGAAGTAAAAAAACGGCGTGGCAAGACGAGATAACGGAGAAGATCCAGACAAAAGATGGCTGAGAATCCGCACTGCCATAACAACGGGTGTTTAAAAAACCAATATATCGATTCTGAGCGAAATAAAAGACAAGCCTTTTGTCAAGTGGGCCAGCCCAAGTTAGGGGGAAGGTCAGAAGAATTATCGATGACAGATCACGGTGCACCTTCCACAAAGAAAAGGCGACCGAACTGAGAATTGCACGCCACTGAGAACAGCACTTGGAAGAATTGGTGGCAAGCAGGCCACTTGGACGGAATACATGAAATGAGGAGTGCAGCCGGCCACGCCAAGATCATATGACCATCCCAACAGAATGCCAATCGATGCAACCACTCAAGGCATTATCAATGTAATTCATGAGTCCTTTGAACCCGAGGCGCGTATGCGAGTCAGGGGTTCAATCAAGAGGCTGAGCACTTCTAGGGAAGTATTGAGTGCCCAAGCCTTGCCATCAAGAAAGGGGAGGACAGAGGCAACCAACGTCATGACCTTTTCAGACAAAGACTTAGAACGAATTAAACTGCCCCATAATGATTGCCCCAGGTCGTCACTCTCCCGAGTCAAGGATTTTGACGTCAAGGCGGATTCGATTGACCAGGGTAGTTCATGTGAGATCATGTATTACGGACACATTCAAACAACTAAAGCTGCAA